CAGTATCTTTTAACTCGAATCTTGGGCGTTAGCAGAAGTAGAAGTAGTAGTAGTTGTAGTAGTAGTTGTAGTGGTAGTAGTAGTAGTAGTAGTAGTAGTAGTAGTAGTAGTAGTAGGAGTAGCAGTAGCAGTAGCAGTAGCAGTAGCAGTAGTAGTAGTAGTAGTAGTAGCAGTAGCAGTAGCAGTAGCAGTAGCAGTAGCGGCGGCAGCAGCAGCAGCAGGAGGAGGAGTAGTAGTAGTAGTAGTAGTAGTAGTAGCAGTAATAGTAGTAATAGTAGTAGTAGTACTAGTAGTAGTAGTAGTAGTAGTAGTAGTACTAGTAGTAGTAGTAGTAGTAGTAGTAGTCGTCGTAGTGGTTGTAGTTGTAGTAACAGTAGCAGTAATAGTAAGAGTACTAGTACTAGTAACAAAAAACAGTAATGGTACAGTAGTAGTACTAGTTATAATGCAAATCTTGTAAAACGTGCAAAAAATCGATTTGAGCACTACGAGCAAGAACAGTAGCAATCAGGAAGTGATAAGAGTGAAGCAAATAATACAATAGTCGCAGATGTTCCCTCTGTAACCCTTCTAGTACAGTACTAAAGCTGACCTATTTGCAGCTGCATGGATGGCTCGGGTGTCCCCAAGTACGCAAACAATTTGCACTTGAGTTTTAGGCAATAGCAGCTATAGTATAGACTTTAAGTGACGTAGGAATATGATTATGAGACCTTAGGGTATACCTGTAGTCACAACCATATAAAGAGACGTAAAGGGCTGAGAACCTGGCTGAACACCCTGAACCTCCCAAGCAGAATAATGAGAGGTTTTGGGAACCCGAATCCCTAAATCAAGACCCTATAACTAGCATATAACTGTACGTAATGAGGTCTTTATTGAAAGGGTTGGGGTTGCCGAATCTCTCCTAAACCCTAAACCCTACCCACTAAACCCCTGAATATCCAAGTAGAAAGGGGATTTGAGAGACTCTAAGCCCTAAATCCTAAACCCTAAACCCCTAAGCCCTAACCCCTCTACCCTAAACCCTAAACTCTAAACCCTCAACCCTGGACTCCTGCCTGCATTGACCAGACCACAGAGGTTGCTCCGGGGAGGTTGGCTCAGGAGGATGACCTGGATGTAGGGGCTTTACAGGGTTTGGGGGGTTTAGGGGGTTTACAGGGTTTGGGGGGTTTAGGGGGTTTAGGGTATAGGGTTTAGGGTTGGGGGGGTTTA